CTCGATTGTCATGCTCCCCTGATACTTTTTCAAAAATTTCGAATTTTCAAATTTCAGTGAATACCTCCTCAATTGTCATGCTCGCCTGATATTTTTTCAAAAATTTTGAATTTGGAAATTTCAGTGAATACCTCCTCGGATCTCCTGTTTTCCTGATACTTTCTGAAAAATTTCAAATTTTTTGAAATTCGCCAAATATTTTTATTGGACCGGGTTCGAGGAACATAAGACGGAACTGGTTTCGGAGTGAACATAACTCATATGGTTTCATTTTTATTTCTAATAATTTTATTCATCTTTTATTCGAAGTGCGAAAAATTGGAATTCACAAAAAAAATTCAGTTTCCTCCCCCTAAAATGATAGATCAGTCCTCTGGGCCTAATTTTGCATTAATTACATTCACCTAATTCGATGGAGAACTCTCATAATATCGAAACTTTCTCCATTTAATTTTGATAAATCCAGGCTGGAGAGGCACCTGATAAAGACTGTCCACTCATGAAGGCGCTGAAAGAGAGCATCGATGCGTGCAGTGATAAACTCGGTGAAGGTTTGTAACAATTAAACTTATTCATATTATTCCGAACAATATCATAAAAATAAATGCAATACAATCTCACATCAATGACTTCGAAATAATTTAAAACAATTTCTTCGATTAATTAATTGATTTTTCAACTTTTTCGCACGTCAATCGGATCCACATTTTTCCATAAATTAAAAATACATAATCTAGTCCGCGTCGGGTTAATTGTGAGATTGATGGACTTCACTTGGTCCACAGCCGTGGGCAAAGCATCATTTTATTTACAGCCACGTTTCGCAATAAAATAATTAAGAGCACTTGTGCGCAAATGACGGTTTTAACGATCATGATTACAGCCCTTCGGTCTGCAAACCTCACAATCGTCAATAACGTCATTTACACACTCGCGTTATATAGTGTAATTGTTGGGAGTTCGAGGGGACTGAACAAGGGGTGAAACACCCCCCATAAATTGTCGCGAATCTCTAATTCCTCCAATTGCATTCCATTGCGAATTCTTTTCTTCCGTCGAGTCTCTCTCATCATTTAATTGCTCCCATTCATTCTTTTTTCCATTATTTCCAAAGACTCTTTGTTATAAATTCGACTGCCATCAATTCAAGTCAATTCAGCTTCCCCTCATTTTTTTTTTTGCGAATGCAATAAAAAATGCAGCAAATACTTCGCCAACAGAACGCTGAATGTAGATTTCTTGACGTTTTTCGGTAATACCTCCGAAACCGGGGGATGTAATGAAATTTTCGTCAGACCCTTTTTTCTAGAGATCGTGAAGATCTACAGAAAAGGTTATCACAAAAATTTCGATATCTCCCTCGATATCGGAGATATTGCCGAAAAATCGGTAACACTCAATATTTGGTTTTGTTTTTTTGTTCAAATTGTCGGGCAGAGAGTAAAACATTACTGGAGAAAGATGAATCCGCTGATAACGAGGAAATCCGGTGCTTCTATGCGTGTATCTTGACTCACGGTGGAATGGTAAGTTAATGAAGAGAGAAAATCATTTTATATGAGATCGGAAAATCGAAATCATGTTTTTAGATGAGTGACGGTAAGATGGACATGGATGCCCTCGAAGAATTGCTCTTGGAAGATCCAGAACACGAGGAGGAAGCCAAGAAAATCGTGGAGATAATGAAAACGTGTAAGCCTGAAGGTAAGTACTCAGTCGAAATCCTCTCTCAGTAGTGAATTGCTGCGATGTACCTGAAAAAAAAAGAGTTGGGGGTTTATATCTCGGATAATCCAACGGCTGTTGGCAGCTGCGTGCCGATCACTGCATAAATCATCGATTCTTTCTAAATAAAAACCTCTCTGAATAGAAATTAAACAATGTGATTATTGTCAAGGATTTTTTGTCGCGAATATTCAGACCTCCATGAAGTTGGCAAGGCAGGAGCACTCAATTGAGAAATGAAAATAGGTTTTTTTTTCGAAAAACGATGAAAATGAATTTTTTAGAAAATCGATAAAAATTAATTTTCTTGAAAATTCTTGGGGAAACTCATGAGGTCTGAATAGCAGACCTCTCTATCAGTCCAAAAAATGATTGAATTCAATTGAGCGGTGAAAATTATTTTTTTTTTCAAAAATCGATGAAAATGATTTTTTTGAAAATCGATAAAAATTAATTTTCTTGAAAACTTTCGGAAAAAATCATGAGTTCTGAGTAGCGGACCTCTCTATCAGTCCAAAAAATGATTGAATTCAATTGAGCGGTGAAAATAATTTTTTTCCAAAAATCGATGAAAATGAATTTTTTTGAAAGTCGATAAAAATTAATTTTCTTGAAAATTCTCGGGAAAACTCATGAGTTCTGAGTACCGGACCTCTCAATGAGTCCAAAAAATGATTGAATTGAATTGAGCGGTGAAAATAAATTTTTTTTCGAAAATCGATGAAAATGAATTTTTTTGAAAATCGATGAAAATGAATTTTTTTTTGAAAATCGATGAAAATTAATGTTCTTGAAAATTCTCGGGAAAACTCATGAGTTCTGAGTAGCGGACCTCTCAATAAGTCCAAAAAAAAATTGAATTCAATTAGAATCGGAATGATGTATTTTATTTTGCAATTGCAGCTGAAATCACTGATAACGAATGCGACGTGGCAGGTAATTACGCAAAATGTATGAAGTCGAAGAAAATCGAGTAATCGAACAGATCTAGGCGCCTGAAATCCTCGATAATTGTAACTTGTGGGAATTAGAAAATAAAAAAAGTCACCACCAAAAGCTGAGCCTCAATTATTACTCTCTCCCGCAAATCCCCATGATTAACTCGACTTATGACTCGGTACGCATGATAATAAATACGACGATAAACGATGGAAATCGGGGGGAATTGAGAATTTGCAAACAAAAGAATTGGCGAAATAAATGACTAAGTCGTTAATTCCGACAAATTTTCCCAAACAGAAGGAAAAGAGGAAATTCCTGATAATTTTTATTTTATTGTTTCAACCGCTGACTCATGATACATCCGCTGTTGCACATTTCACATCTTTAAAGTCGGCAACTTCATTGAGATGTCCCATTTCTATCAATTTTATCACTGAATTTCCTTTCCCCTCATCCTCACCCCGATGTAACGGACATAAAAGCGGTTTTAATGAATTTATCCAAACGAAAGAACCGTAACAAAAATAATTCTTTCTGTGCCAATGATTCGAGTCTCAGCAAGACATTTAATCAGGGCAATTTATTTAATCTAACTGTCAAGTGGCACGAAGGACAGAATAAACCACGAGAAAATATTAATGTTAATTGCCAGATGATTATTGTCCACATCTTCAACTGTATCAACCATTATAAATAAAAATTCCAAAGTATTTGCGAAGTGACAGTGCAAAATTACCGCGTCGATTCGTCTTTTATCTTTACTAACACTCAATTTTACGAATTTTCGCTCCCTTTTTTCCCGAGTAACCCCTGAAAATTTATGAATATTCGTTTTCAAAGGAATTACTTTTGATGCGACAAGAAACAGCTGTAAAAATGAAGCTATAAACCATTTGAGGGCCGTTTGATAGCTTAATGGAGAAGAGAAACAAGTGAAACGATCCCGAGGACATGAAAACCCGATGAAAATTGTCGATAACTATAAAAGACACAGGGGAAAAGGTTCGAGTCAATTTCTACTTGATGATACGATATTTTGAATTATCTGGAGTTCGCGTAGTCGATATTCATCGATTCAATGAATTCCACTTGTGTTCCACTTCCACATTCACCTGCCCTTGATTACCACCAATTGGAAATTTTTCCTATCTTGTAATTTCTCAATTCTCCCCGTCTCCCATCGGGCCTTGATTGTTAAATCATTATTCAATTAATTATTCAATTCGAATGAATGGATTTTTCAAGGGAAATTCACCGAGTTTTTCTCCCACTCCCCTGTTACTTCCAGTTCAATTAACTCTTGAATAATTAAATGGCGCGAGTTGATTAGAATTTTCATCAGCATCAAGAAGACAACCCTGTCCATCAGTTTGAACAAAACCCAAAACAGTTTCGTGTCTCTGCGGTTTAGCACAAACATCCTCAATTTCAAGGCAATTTAATTCATCCGGGTAGTGTCCTCGGGGAATACCCTGGAATAATCTCCACTCATAAACGATCTCCCCCAGTCCGAGAAAAAGAAAATCAGCAAGTCATACCCAAACGTACCCTTCCCCAGCTGAATACACACAACCCACTAATAGCCCGTCCTCAGCTATGTGAAGTTGGCATCGAAGTTTGAAAAATCTAACTTTTTTTTGTTGGTTTGGATTGTACTCATTGAGTACTTGAATGTACCCTGTGC